ACATTAAACGGGGACCAGTCCTTGAAGGGAAGGGCATTTGGGGAAGGCTCTTCAGTGCTCAGTGGGGCGCTTCCACTACCTACCGCCATGCTGGGTATAAAGAGAAGGGAGCCCCCCATGTTGGCATTAGCTTGTGTCAGGAGTGACTAAGTGACCACATCCCTCAGCAGATCAGTGTGTTCCTTGGGCACAGGAGCATAACTTGCGAAGGCTGTCAGCATGCTCTGTTCTCATCCCTGTGAAGAGCAGCGGTATACAGTGGTGGTGACGCAGAAAGACCGACTCCAACTTAAACTTCCACTCCACTGGTCAAGACGTTCTCATGGAAGTAATTGCATTAACTGGGAGCACCTTGAGGAGAGTTTCCTGGGCTTTTGTCAGTGTATTTAATCACAGCCACAGAAAGGAAACTATGATGGGAAGGTATGATCAGATCTGCATAACACCCAGGACTGGGTCCAATCTCCCAGGAAGCAGTGGGTCTCTATCTCTTAGAGATGCTGCTAGACTAGAGTAGTGATAGTGACTGTCACCTTATGTGCCTCAGTCTTCATGTCTGTCAAATGAGGATGGGAATAGTACCCATCTCATAGAAATGGGCCAAGCATTTAGACTACTGGTCAATCAGCACAGAGTGTGGTGACCGGCGTTTGTGTGTTCCTCACAAGAATTAACTGCTCTTGTGTTTGCTGGAAAGTGGAGCAAGGCTCGTTCGTTAGTGGGACCAGTCTGAGAAGGGATGGGGCTGCTCCGTGTTCTGAAAGTTCAGAGAAGAGCTGGGCACTCTCCTGTGGCTGAACTGCTCAGACTGTTCCAGAGTTGAGAGCAATGTGACAGCCAGCAGCCTCCTGCCCGGCCACCCTGCCTTCCCTGCCTCTACTGAGGCTTCCTCGCCATGGCAGACTGTGTATCTCTCTACACTGCAAGCCTAAATAACCTTTGTCCCCTTTAAATTGCTTTTGCTGGGAGCCGGGCGGTGGTGACGCCCAGCACTCGGGAGGCAGAGGCAGGCGGATCTCTGTGAGTTCGAGGCCGGGCTGGACCGACAGCCTCCAAAACAATACAGAGAAACCCTGTCTCGTAAAAACCAAAAAAAAAAAAAAAAATGCTTTTGCTGGGGTATTTTATCACAGCAACAGAAAGAACTAATGAAGATGTTTTTCACCTGAATATTCATAGAAACATGAGAAGTATATTGTTATATCATGACCCCCATATATTAGGTGTCGGCACACCACACCCCAGGAGGCTTTGCTTGAAGACTGCTCTACCTGATATAAGGATGTGTGGCGTCCGCTCTCCACAGTGCTGCATAAGCAGCATCGATTTCAGGTTAATCCGTGCCACTTACTCAGCGACCGCCGTGTCTGTATGTTCTGCATCCTGTCTTACAATTTCAACATAAATTAAAATTTAATGCTTCTCTTGTATTAAATATTTATATGTTACAAACTTATTCTCCACAGATCCGTGACTAAAAAAAATTAAAAAAAAGATTTCCAATAAAAAAGAATGACTTGAGATTCTTAAACTGTGACACAGTCAAATAAGCAAACACTGATCAAATAACCTTCATGAGCATGAAGGTGAAGGCTAGTTTCATAAAAAACTCCCTGGAGTTCTCTGCCCAAAGTCAAAGAAGGAATTTATCTGGAATAGTTGAGGTCAAGAGCACTGAGACCTTGGGAAGCACATCATTCCTGTGCTTCCTTTCCCCAAGCACATCTGTCAGCGTGGAAGCTTCCATATCACTGTGCAATGTAAGAACAATAAAGACTGTATTTAAGGGTCTGGGCAGATGGCTCAGAGGTTAAGAGAGATGGCTCACTTACTGCTCTTACAGAGAACCTGGGTTCAGTTCCTCATACCTACATGCAGCTCACAATCACCTGTAACACCACGCACACACACAATATTTTTAAAGAATATATTTAATACTTTACATTTAGAGTTTTGGCTGTATAATATCATTCCCCCAAATTGAGAGCTGTGAAAAGAACACAAAAATACTTTTATTGAGAAATTTTGTATGTTTCTGAGGTTATACTTTATTTCTTCACTTACTTGGAAACATTGGGATCAAAGTCAAGGCATTGTTCATGCTAGGTGGGCGCTCTGCTGTTGAGCTATGTCCCTAGGCCATTGGTGTCACGGTTTATGTGATCATGTAAAACATTCTTTCTTTTAAAAACATCCCATTTGTATCATTCTTGTTGTGGCAACTTTATGAAAGGGACAATAGACATTAAGCCTTAAATATTATTTCTTTTCCCTTGTCTCATTTGACTATTGTAGACTTTGCAGCCATTCCCTGGTACATCTGTGGTGTTAATGGCATTCAGAGGGCGGCCAGACATTGGAGGAGCTGTGAAAACGTACATGATCATGAAGGAAGGGTGGTAGTAAAGTAACATGGAGGCAGAGAGGGAGGCCACTGGGGTTTAGAGACAGCATCCTTGAGTAAGGAGTCTGGTGCTGGGGGGGAGGAGAAGGAGGGGGAAGAGGGGGAGGAGGAGGAGGAGGAGGGACCTGTTTCTTTGTAAAGTCCTCCTCTGTTGCTTCCAGGAGTCATGGTGACTTGGTGGCTTTTGAAGCTGATGCTCCTTTTAGATGTGCTTCTGTGCAGAGGTGAGGCTTCCTGTGGCCACCCAGGACTGTCTCCATAGCTTCCTTAATAGTCTTTTGCTAACTCTGGCAGCTCTTGTAATTTCTACAATAGGAAAATCTACTCCTGGGGCATCAGTATGCAGGGTAGACTTTGCCAAGGTCGTGGTGGGGACAGAAGAGACAACAGCTTCATACAGTGGGTCACTAGCTTGTTTCTTCTCATCCCTGCCCTTCCTTCTCCCAGGGGTATGCCTTCCGGTGCTCCATGATCTTCCAGACCTGACTATGCCCAAGCCCACCATCCTCCCTAGGCATCCATGCGGATTGTGCATTGGTTGCTTTCCATTGCTATGACCAAAGTCCCCAACAGAAGCAACCTGAGAGAGGAGACGTTTATTTTGTCTCAGAGTTTCACAGAGTTGAGTCCACTATGAAGAGATAGGTCACAGACAAAGAGAAAGCAGGGAAAGGGGGATGTCAGCACTGGCCTTGGTCTCCTAGGTGAATTTAAGTCAGTCAAGCTGATGGTGACAATTATGCATCTGTGGACTATGTATATGTGTTTCTCACTAGTGTCTAAAATTCAAAAAAGAAAATCAATCATATTTTAATTATTTAGGACTGCAATTCCATAGTTCATTTTTCTGGCATGAATAGGAACCAAATCCCCATCGTATCTCTTGACTGCCTGTCAATGCTGTGTCAGTGCATTCTAATTTTAAAGGAGCTTTTATGTACAAAAAATGTTTGGGCAGTTTTGTAGTAAGATGTATGGCTGGGAGTGTCATCCCTAAACCCAAGTCAGCATGGGAAGATCCAGGTGCAACTTGAATCACCTGGTTAGTTCAGAATGGAAAGTCCTGTGTAGGGGGAGGGGTAACCATTGAGTGCTGTGTTCCTGCCCTGGCCAGAACCAGAGCAGGACGTGGGTTTTAACTGTGAAACAAGCTAGGCAAGGCCTCCATCCTCATGAAGTCTGTGGTCGGATGGGGAGAATGCGCTGGGGCGGCAGGGGAATTGTGGTAGAGTGAGATAATATTCCAACATTCCCTGGGGACTAGAGACAGGGTGAGAATGGGGAACAGATTCAGGGCAGGGGTAACAGCAAGAGAGTTGAGGTGAGGCACTGGGGGGGGGGTGAGAACAGGCAGCTTGGAGGGTCAGGAAAGGAGCTTAGGCCTGATACGCTGTCACGTGGCTGAGTCTTAGCATTCAGGAGGAGGAGGCAGGAGGCTGTCTTAAGTGGGGGGGGGAGTAGGGAGGGAGGGAGGACGGGAGGGAAGAGAGGAAAATCTCATTTGGGACTTGGACACAGAATCCAGAGTGTCAGGGCAGGTGTGGCCCACAGGGCTGGAGAGGAAAGCCCAGTGTGTGAGTCCCACATCTTTGGCTTTGTTTGGTTTTGAGTTGAGACAGAGACTCTCTACATAGCTCTGACTGACCTAGAACTCACTATGTAGACCTTGCTGTGTGGCCTCCAACTCAGAGATCTGCCTGCCTCTGCCTCCCGAGTGCTGCCATTAAAGGTGTGCGCCGTCTTAGGTTTTCTAAACCTTTGCAGTTTGTCCCCATTTCCTCATACTCAGCCGAGACCCAGCCTCAGTCTGAACCTTGCATTCTGACCACACCTCTGCTTGCTAGAGGCCCAGGTAGCTGCACGGCATGGCCGCCAGTCCCTCCGCACCTCACACAGCTCTTGTGGTCATCTCCCAAGCACCTGCACTGAGCTCAGGTGATCGCTGAGTATGGAATACCCATGCATGCATTGTACGCTATCAGTAGTGGTTTCCTTTTCACTTATTTGCTTGTGTATACAACAAAAATATATAGCGCCTCTGCACTATGCCACACACACTGGATGCCAACTATCAATGACAAGATCAGTTTAACACGTGAAGGATCTGAGCACCGTCTCAAGATTAGAGTGCAACAGACAGGCCGAGCATCACAGAGGGGCGGGGCCAGACGTGCCATTCAAAATCCATTCCTCACCGTGAACACACCCTTGACTTGTAAATGGATGCCCATGAGGCATGTGAGGATTGACGTGTACATGTTCCAGTGCACAGTGGGCTGTGACAGCATGGAAACAGGACATATCATCAGACAGGGCTGGCAGCAAGGAATGCACGTCTGACTTTGGAGTCTAGGGTAGATAGAATGCCATCATTTTGGCTGATGGTGTTGTTTCTCTCAGTGGTCCTCGACTGCTTTCTTCAGAACAGAACTACTGGGCTATTTTTAAAAAAAGTTTTCTAAAGACAAATATATAGAGCAGTAAGAATGTAAAGATAATAGAAAATGGTTGAAATGATTAGCTATGAATTTCATCATGGACCAGGAAGGGAAGAAAGAAACTTAGAGGGAACAAATGACAACATTCCAGGCACCAGTGGTCTCCATAACATTTAAAGATAGACAATGGGGGTAATGATGAGACATAGGACCAAAAGAGAATATCGATATATAAGGAGAAGATAACGGGGTCTAAGATTACAGAGATGGAGCTGTGCTGGGCAATTCCAGCTTCCAGTGAGAATGCTTGTGGGGAGTGAAGGATGTCAAAGCCATCTGCTGTGCTTCAGTGATCAATGTGACGTCCTTGCTGTGGGGGAACATGGCTGGAACAGTACTGAAGGGAGGAGTCAGATACCAAAGACCCCGGTGGGACAGTGTCGGGAACAGCATCACAGGAGGGCAAGACCCAAAGGATGCTCCTCCAAAGTGAGTCTTAGGCAGGATTCTCCCAGAAATCAGAGCTTAGTCACTGGCTTACATTCACATAGTTGGTTTTTGGAACAAAGATACAAGGGAATAGGACTGGGAGAAGAGTAAGGGAGGGACAGAGAGGGAGACAGAGAGAGAAAGACAGAGAGGAAGACACACACACACAAACACACCTAGAGAGAGAGAGACAGAGACAGAGAGAGAGATGCAAGGTACATACTTGAGTAATTATCACTATGAGTGAATAGATCTCTGCCATGATTTCAGAAACTTCCCAGAAGCCACATGGAAGGAACCTCAGGGTGTATCCAGTTTCTTCTTCCTCTATCAGGGGTGCTTTGTAGGGGTGGGAACTCCTGGAAGCAGCATCGTTGGGCAGGTTTCTTCAAGTCTCTCCCTCTAAGGCTCTTGGAAGCTCCAGGCAGAAATTGAAATGACATGTTGCAGCTAAGACATCACACGGCCAGGCTTCCACCTGCCTGGAGCTGTTTGTCATAGCGGTGGCTGGAGAAAAACGTGGAAGAGAGAAGGGAAGGCACAAGAAGTGTCCGTCACAGAGTGCAAAGGAGCCCCTGTCAGCAAGCAACCAGTGGGGGAAACAAGCAAAAACAAAACACAGCATAGGCAAAAGCACCATGGCTACTCCAGGTGGGTGACACTAGTGGCCAAATGTTCAGTTTCAGCTTTGACCCAGAACTTGGAGAAAATGTGGGTTCAAGGCCCATCTGGCAAGTGAACAAGAATAGAGTACAAAAAAGAAATCCAGGAGGGACGGTTCCTGGCCATCCTAGACCATGCAGGGTCAGCCAGGAATTTAATCACCACAAGGCTGCCCATGAAATCAAACTGCAGTCTGAGCAAGGAGATGGATGTATCAAGAGAAACAGTATCTGTTCTCAGAGAAGTCTAGCTGGGTAAAACTGGGGATACGTGTGTATACACTTCAGGTTTTTCTAGGGAGGCTCTAAACAGTGATTCCCAACCTGCAGGTCACGACCCCCACGGGGTCACATATGAGATATCCTGATTTTCAGATATTTACATTACAATTCATAACAGTAGTGAAGTTAAAGTTATGAAGTAGTAACAAAACAATTTTATAGTTGGAGGCAGGGGTCACTGCAACGTGAGGAACTGTATTAAAGGGTTGCAGCGTTAGGGAGGTTGAGAACCACTGTATTAGAGCTTGGCAGCATTAGGGATGTTGGGAACCTCTATATTAGAGGGTTGCAGCATTAGAGAAGTTGGGAACCACTGTATTAAAGGGTTACAGTGTTAGGGAGATTGGGAACCACTGCTGTAGAAGACAGGAAATGAGCATAAAGGTGTCATTTATCAGAGCCATTTGGCAATTTTATTTGCCAAGGTGAATTAATAAATTAGCATCCTGATTTAGACCATACGCTATGGGGAGTTTAACTAGTTAAGCTAAATCACTCTGGGCTTGGTAATAAGTCAGGTCTACGGAACTCCAAAGTGTAGGATACCAGCTTTTCCCTGTGACCACAGCAGAGAGCAGATGGCCAGAGAGGTTGGCCTCGGGTCTTCTCCCGATGATTTACAACTCATCTCCTGACTCAGTGCTCTGCTTCTGGGATGTCCCATCACGCAGAAACAAAAGCATGTTTATGCACCTCTTGTCACCTTTTACTGTGTAAGTCCCCGTATGCTCAAGCCAACCTGTATATTTATGGCCTCCATTTCTGCAGGTCAGGAATCTAGTGTAACGGGATTCCTGCCTGGGTCCTGTGCCCACTTTAACCCCCAAAATAACACAAGGAGACTCTATTTGTTACAATGCTGTTGGCCAGTGTCCGGGGCTTATCATTGGCTAGTTCTGTCTTAAGTATTAACCCATGACTACTAATATATATTTCTATAAGGTCTTATCTTACTGAGAGTGCCAGGCTCGTACATCCTCTCCTCCTGGAATCACATAGTGACTCTCTACTCTTGACTACATTTCCCAGAATCCTCCTTGACTCCTAGTCCCACTTGTCTTGCTTCCCTATTGGCCAACAGTGCTTTATTTATCAACCAATAAGACAAACATATACACAGAAGGACTTTTCCCTTACTCAGCCCTTGTACCTCAGGGTCTTTAACAGACTGCAGTCCAGATACCAGCTGCAATTGTTCATCTGAAGGTTTCACTGGTCCAGGATCTCTTTCCAAGTTCACACAGTGGTTGGAAGCATTTAAGTTTGTGTGGATTGTCTCTTGTGATACTTTGCTGAGTAGTCCATGTCTGGTCACCACAGATAGAGTAATAACAGATCAAAGAAACAATGCAACTTATGCCCAACTTGGGGAAACATGGAGCTTACCTAATGAAGCTTGAGTGAGGTTTGTCTATGGGAACTTGGCTGACTCAGGCAGCTGCAGCACTGAGAAACTTACTCCAACTTGAGAGATCCATGAAAACTATCACTGGTTCCCAGCTATACCACTGAGGAGCTAAGTTCAAGGTCAGCCTGGTCTACACAGTGAATTCTAGACCAACTAAGGGCTATATAGTGAGACCTTCCTTGTCAAAAAGAAAAAGAAAAATAGAAAACAGAGAAAGAAAGAAAGAGAGAGAGAGAGAGAGAGAAATAAAAAAAGGAGAAAGAAGGCCTTAGACAAATTTCTTCTAAGGCAATGACGTAAGGGGTGGGGGATGTTCAGATTTCTCCTACTCACATCTCATTCGCAAGAAGGTGGACACATGACCACAGGGAGGTTAAGTGGAGGCTGGGAAGTGAACTTTCTTGTCAGACATCCATGAATCCTGTCAAAACCCAGAGTCAGAGGCTTTTATAAACAAAGAGGATGGACTAGAAAGGGGGTGATAAGCAGGCTCCTCTACAGTGACCATAAGTGGGTGGAAAGTCTAACTTGTTATTGTCAGATCATCCAGTATGTATCTATGCGTCCCAATGTCCCATAACAACCAGCCTGACAAGATACAGTCATGGGTGCAGTAGTTCATGAGGGTCCTGGGAGTAACCAACCACTTTCTGATTGTATTAAAGGCCCTCTCTGCAGGAGGAAACTCATGGCTATCACTATAAATCTTGCCAAGAACACGTGGCCAAGGAATAGATAGGGGAGAAGCTGCTATCATTACATTCTTTTTGTAGCTGTGATGATTATCTAGAAAATATCATACACAGCAGACTGGGTGGGTAAAACAGATGAACAATTTTCTACTTCATTAAATTTGAGCCAGGCAGTGGTGGTGTACACCTTTAATCCCAGCACTCTATAGGCAGAGGCAGGTGGATCTCCATGAGTTTGAGGTCAGCCTGATATACAGAGTGAGTTCCAGGACATCCAGGACTACACAGAGAAACCCTGTCTCTAATAATAATAATAATAATAATAATAATTTGAGCCCAAGTGTGGTTTGACTTGTCTATAATTCTAATACTCAAGAAGCGGGGGCAGCAAGAACAGGGATCCAAGATCAAACTCAGCTGTATAGTGAGTTTAAGACCAGCCTGAGATAGATGAGGACATGTCCTAAGACAGCAACAAACTAGAACATATCTGTATCTATACACACACATATCTCCTGATTTGGGGTTCTACTCCAATGCAATGTTTTTCCAAACTAGAAAGAAGATTGAAATAAAACTGTTATTAAATACTTGTTGTTTTGTTTTACTTTGTTGTTGTTGTTTTTGTTTTTTGAGACAGGGTTTCTCTGTGTAGCCCCTGGCTGTACTGGGCTTTATTTGTAGATCAGGTTGTTCTTGAATCAGAGATCCACCTGTCTTTACCTCCTGAGTGCTGGAATTAAAGGTGTATGCCAGCATCGTGAAGCCTAACTACTTGTTAAAAATTGAACTTATAAAACAGACTACTGGATAACTGCTAAGACAAATGAACTCTTCGGTTTTATACCTCTGATCACTAATGCATCAAATCAAGACACCCTCTGGTGCATTTATTTTCAAGAGATTAAATCATTAAAAATTCTGCATTCCTCACTAATATCAAACTGAGTTAGGATAGATCACATTAGTACTGATTGAGTTTTGATTGTCATATGTCTGTGTCTGAAGGGCATTTCCAGCCGCTGGCAGTGGGTGAATCCCAGCTAACCCAGGAAGCCTGGAACAATGCCCAGCATTTTGAGTATCTTTTTAACAGATGTGCTATCTTTCAGCCATACACTTACTTAATAGTGTGTATCCTTTTCTGTTTGCAGAAAGGCTTCAGTCACATGAGCGCTTTACCTGCGTGTACACATGTGTCTGGTGTCCACCAGGGACAGAGAGGTAGATGTTGGACCTCCTGGCACTGGAGTTACAGATTGTTGGGAGTTGCTGTGTGGGTGCTGGGAACTGAAGCTGTGATCTCTGTAAGTGACAAGTGCTTTTGACTGCAGAGCCACCTCCAGAGTCCCACAAATGTATGTAAGCATTGAGTCAGTGGGGGGAATGGTGACAGGGGTGGTGTGTGTTAGTGTGTGTGTGTGTGTGTGTGTGTGAGAGAGAGAGAGAGAGAGAGAGAGAGAGAGAGAAAGATAGAGAAAGAGAGAGAGAGAGAGCCACCTCCAGAGTCCCACAAATGTATTTAAGCATTGAGTCAGTGGGGGGGATGGTGACAGGGGTGGTGGTGTGTGTTTTTATGTGTGTGCAGTGGTATTTAATCATTTAGTGAGGGACAGTGGGGGTTGTATATATTAGTGTGTGTGTGTATGTGTGTGTCTGTGTGTGTAATGGTATTTAATCATTTAGTTAGTGAGGGACAGTGGTGGTGGTGGTGTGTGTTTGTGTGTGTGTGTGTAATGGTATTTAATCATTTAGTTAGTGGGGGATGGTGACGGTGGTGATGGTACCTGTGTTAGAGTGTGTGTGGTGTGTTCCTCATGTGAAGGTCAGAGGACAATCATTTCTCAGGCATCAGCCACCATTTTTAGTTGTTTGAGACAGGCTCTCTGGCTGGCCTGCTCTTGAGTTCTCCAGGTAAGCAAGGCTGGCAGGGCAGGGAGACCCTGGAATCCACCTTGTGTCTGCGTCCCCAGCACTGGAAAGATAAGCACACACCACGTCCTCAGCTCTTTTTACACGACTCCTGGGGACCAAACTCAAGTCTTCACACTTACCCAGCAAGCATTTTCCTGGTTAAGCTCTCTCTCCCGGGCCCACAAATGGGGTTTTGTATCTTTCTACTTAGCTTCATTTTTAAACTTTTCCCCGTGTGTTATAACAACACTTTTGAAAGATGACACATTTATCACCTCCTCTTAGCTGACCTCAGGGCGGTGACTGAGGCTGTCTTCCTAACAAACTGAAGCTGCACACCTGGCCGCAGGTCTGCTCAGTGTCCTATCCCTGTGGTCACCTGGCAGCGACATGTCCACGTGAAAGAGCCCTGGTGACAGTCAGCATTTGTGTCTCAGAGTGAAAAGACCAGTGTAGCAGGCGGCAAGCAGGGACACAGGAGCGGTGTCCTCATGAGCACTGACATCACCGCACACCAACGGACGCCACGGCAACGAGAGAACAATGGGAAACCGGAGTCACTTGAACACTGCAACTGAGAGAGGGCAGAACAATGCGGAGGTGCCTGGAACAAATGGTCCTGCTGGGGACAGCGGGAAACAGTGGCTCTGGTGTAATTAAAACTGGGCCTTGAGGCGGGCACGGACGAGGATCTCAATGGTCCCGGCACCCAGGACATTAGTCACATGGTGTTCATCAGGTGACACCCTAGCCTGAACCTGCATATCGGCTGACACCGTAGAAATACTGTTCCTCTGGTCCAGCGTCTGCCAACACGGCTGTTAATAATTAACCCCGGCGTTGACGATGCGTCTGTACACACCTCCAGACAGAGCCTTTCTGCAGAGGCTTTCCACCTGCTTGGCCACGCCCTTCCTGGTAATTTTGTATTGTTGCATAGCAGGACATCAAGGCTGTTGGGTACTGGAAATATCTGAGAGAATGGTTTCCTCAGAGGGCCAAAGCTGTGTCTGAGTCAGTGTCCTGTGGTGCTGAGGCAGCCCACTGAAAGCAGAAAGTGCTGAGCCTGCCAGGTAGTTACCCAAGTAGGTCCAGGGTATAGGGAGTTTCATCTTTGCTGGGACAGGAGTTGCTCTTTCGTTTTGTTAGATAAGGCAACCTTGAACTCACTATGCATCCCTGTCATCTCTGAACTTGCAGTGATCCTCCTGCCTCTGCCTCCCTAGTGCTGGAGTCAGAGGTGTGTGCACTGCTATGACCTGCTTATTGCTGCCCTTTACGTGAAGTTGGTTAATGTATTAGAGCATATATCAGAATTCCCTGGGGATGTCCTTCATAAGAAATGTGCTCAGGACTGATCCTTGGCATGGGTTAACATGGAATCTGGGCATATGTTTCAGAGTACAACTCAGGTAAAAATGACGTGTGCTCCTGGTTTTCTGCCATGGGGCCAGAGGCAGCTAGCCAGCATGGCTGCTGTGCTGTATTTTCCTTCCCAAACATGGGGTTTCCACTTTAAGGGAACTCACCCATGTGATTCTTCTGGTGTACCTAATGTGCGATGGAAAGACCCTTCCTGCCCAGGCTTGCCCGTCTCGTCTCAGAAGTTATGGCTCCCAGGGCCAACTCCACTAAGTTTCCATTACCAGGTGGTACAGCAAAGGCAATGTGACTTGAAAGACAGCTTCTACTGGGAATATGGAGGAAGTCAGAGCACTGAGGCACAGGTGGGACGATCTCCCAGGACTTCCGGAAGTACTTCCACTGTGTAGGATGCAGCATTTCAGCACAAACTCTCTTGCCCTTTAAGAGTATCTTTTTTCATTTATTTTACTCCCTCATTCCGTCATGTCCTCCAACAGCTGTATTTGCAACTGCCTGTAAAATCCGTGCCCTGTGCATCTTGAGATAGCACAATGACAAAAATAGCATCCTGGGGGAAAGATTGAAGTCTATTAAAGGCACAAAGCAAAACACAAAACCATATTAAGATGAAAAACAAACAGAATAAAAGAGAAACTACTTTGGACTCTACCCAGTAAGCTATTCATTTCGCTTTCGTCCCAATGTCTGTATGACAAGGAAGTTGAATCAAATGGTCTTCCAAATTCCTTCTTGCTCAGGTCTTCTGTGTGTGGTACAAGTGTCTGTGTGTCTGTGTGTGGTACAAGTGTCTGTGTTCTCTGTGATGTATCTCCCAGGAGACAGCTCCAAAGCCGGCCTGGGGTCCTTGGACACGGAGGCACAGCCTCTGTACGGCTTCTTCCATGGGTTACTGTGCTCTTCTCTACCTGAAGGTTTGCTCCTTGCAGGGTGGAGTTAGCAGGGGTCCCACCACCACTGGGGCGGGGCTGGGCAACTGTTCTGCGGCCTTAGATCCCAGCCCTGGTCGCCATATCATCTGTGCTTGCCTCTGTACCTAACCCTGCCTGCCCAGGCCCTGCTCGCTTTGGCTTGTGCTTTGTTTTCTTCTAGCCATCATTCAACAAATACTAGGTGCGCGTTCTGCTCGTGCACTGTCCTTGGCAGCCAGCGAGAGACGGCGAGGGAAGAGCAAGCCCCTCCTTGTAGAGCCGACGTCAAACGGTGTCCCACCCTGGCCTCTGTAAGCTGCCCAAACCTATCTTTCTGCTGGGCAGAAAAAATATAAATAAATAAACAAATGCCCAGAACCCCGTGGCCAGGACTCGCTGCAGCACCTGTGAACTGAAGTCTCTCTTTCGTCCCTCCTGTCCTCCCTGCTTCTAGTCTTCCTTCTTTTCTTCTTTCTTCTCCCTGCTCTCTCCCCACCCCTTCTGGCCTGCCTTAGCCCGTC